AGGGCTCCACTAGTCACCAACACTGGCAGTGGGAAGAGTCAGCCTCCAACACTTGTGTCCTCAGACGATGTGGACTTCAGGGTGAAGAGTCTGCAGGCAGCCTGGTCATTCATGACGTGGCCTTCTTTTATCTCCTGTGCAGCAAACTGCACGGTCCTCCACATCGGTCCATGCAAAAAGCCCCTTTTTGTTTTGTGCCATTTCGTAAGAGACGAGGAGGTGGAAAAGGCTCCTGAGCCCCAGAGGCTACAGTGTGGTCGGCACATAATGAACAGGGTGGATTATGTTTTTTCCAAAGTGTAAAAAATTCCGTGCTGCCAGTCCAGACAAAAGGTCTGCACAGTCCATCATCTTGTTTCTAAGAGTGACCTTCCTGCTCTTTCTGGGAAATGCATGAGAAGGGAACGAATTATTATGTTTAGGCGGGTTCTGTGCTGCCTTTCTGTCTCCCAAAGTTACTGGAGGGGGCCAAGAAAATATTTCTACATAAAATCAATTTAAAACTCCACAGGGTATAGATAACCAGTCACCATTCAGAGGCATTCTGGAATAAAAAGGGCAAGATTCAAGTCCAGGGGCACCTTAGAGACCAACAAGATTTTCAGGGCCTAAGCTTTCGAGAGTCAGAGCTCCCTTCGTCAGACACAGGCAGGAAGGGAGGTCCTAGACCCCTTAGACCCCACTCAGAAGGGGGGGGGTGTTGCAGAGATTGGAGTCAGGATGCAAAAGCACAATGCAAAATGTAATCAGCTTGATTAGCGCTGGGGTGAAATGCCTACAGGTAGGAAATGCAGAAAGTCAGCATCCGTAGTGAGATAAGAATTTAAGGGACCTCCATTCCTACTTGATTCTGATGAAGGGAGCTTTGCCTCTTGAGAGCTTATACTCTGGAAATCTTGTTGGTGCTACTGAACTGGAATCTTGCTCGTCTGCTACAGACCATCATGGTGGAATAAAACATATTTCAGCTTTTCCAGCAAGACAATTCAGACCTTGCTTACTTAGTCAGGGAGTCCCACAGGCTGAGTGCGGCAGGCTGACGTGGCCCTCCGAAGATTCCTGCTTCAGACCTCACAGGTTCCTACATAAAGGCATCCTTCAGAGACCTCAAGACTTTGGCAAGATAATATTGGACTTGAACCCTAGACATTTAGGGTTTGCACCATGAATTGCACCTGGAAGCACACTTGCAGCCAGGGCAGATTATAGGATGTTGGTGTGATTTTTCATCATGGTGGGGGGTTGCAGCGGTAAACAGTCTTCACGGGGAGCCCCAGTAGTCTAACAGTAGTCTAGTCTGAATGTTATTAACATGGGAGTGACAGTGATCAGGACGGCTTTCTGCAGGAACAGCCACAATTGGGGGCCAGTCAGAGCTGGGAAAAGGTCCTCCTAAGCCAACTTCTGCCACTGGTCTTCCCAGGGAATGACTGCAAAGATCTCACAGTGGTTTGTCACCAATGTGTGGTGTTCAGAGATATTCTGCCCCTGGACAGGAAGGTTCTATTTACTTTCAGAAACTTGTCCCCCCCCCCCATCCCCCGTCATCAACTCTCCATGCTAGTGGAGGTCTTATGTGCTGTGTCAGTGAATTCTCTAAGTCCACTGTGTTTTGTATGAAATAGTATTTTTCTTTTATCTGTTTGTTACAGCTTGCTTCTGAAAATTCTCCAAGAATCTGGCTTTCGTGTTTTTTCTGTTTTCTTTCAGATTGCTATTCTGGAAGCAAACCCTTTCTGTTCTGATGTGGCTACAAAGCCACCTGGGTTTCCTCCAGGGCCCTGGAGAAATCTGGGTTTAACCAGGAGGCCAGGCATATTCTTGGGGTGGCAACATTTTTAGGAGAGCCAGTGAAATAGCTGAATGTATGTCAGAGAGTTGGTCCCTTAGGATCTCCCCAGGTAGCCAAATAAGTATTTTGTGCCTGTGGCAGGAGAAGAAAGTCTACACCAGCCCATGATCCTCTTCTGGAGTTGGTTAGGGTCTTCCCAAAGAGTTGTAGGTTGTGTCTTCTGCTTTTTTTGTTGTCTTCTTTAGGGACAGACTGAAAAGTGTGTCTTAGTAAGTTAAATAGCATGAAATACACAGAAGGTGGGTACTTGGGGGTGATAAGACACAGGTCATCAGTATAACACTGTTAACCCTGTACAATGTTTTCTCTCCCCTTTTCCCTCCTCTTTTCCCCCTCTTGTTTGCATCCTTCTCCTTCCTAGTTCTTCCTCGGCAACCAGGTACAGTGTGCCTTGCTATGCTGCCTCTAAGCGCTTTTGTAGATTGTTTCCTTAAAAGCATCGCATGTTGTGAATCTTTTTAAAAGATCTTTATTCTGCTGTGGGTGGCTTTTGCTAATGTTATGAGAAGAGCTTGGATGTATGAACTTAGCCCAGATCCTGGTATACATTGACATGGGTGACAAAAAGGTGACATGTAACTTGCAGGGCGGGCACATACGCTGGCACAGCAGCACATAACACTGGCCCTGGCCCTTCTTTTCAGCTCTCAGGTCTTTCTCAGATTTCTTTACCTGCCAAGATGAAAACTTCCAAGCCAGGCAGCCAGGCCAGGGGAATGTTGCTGTGTACACACAGATCTGAAGCCAATCTCACGCCCCAGCCCTGTTCCTACACCTTGGAAACCATAAAGCAGTGACACAGAGCACGTGCAGCTTTTCAATCCACAGATGGTGGCAACTTTTTTCCACTGTGTGATCCTGGGTTTCTGAACGGTCCATTCATGAATACTTTGAGCTTCTGGGACTGAATACTCAGAGGCAGCGGCTGCTGGGCTGAATAAAACAGCTGATTTGCAGGTTCTGTAAGGGGACCTGTACCTTTCCCCACAGGACAAATAGTAGCACCAGGGTGGGGTGTGATTTCCGTTAGAAAAACAGCACAGGGCCAAAAGGTTAATCTCTCTTCCCCCCCCCCCCCCAGGAGGCTAGCCTGATCGTGTAAGATCTTGGAAGCTAACCAAGGTCAGCCCTGATTAGCCCTTGGAGGGGAGGCCACCAGTGTTCCCTCTAAGCTGCTGAGTCTTGTGAGCAAAAATTCTACTTTGTGAGCTACTGGCATTAAAGTTGTGGAGCAGTTGATTTGGCTACTGCATAAATCAGTTTGCTCTGGAGCCATCCTTCCCGAGCTAAGACGAAAATGTGTAAGCTGGAGGCTAAAAAACTGTGAGCTAGCTCACACTAACTCATCTTAGAGGGAACGCTGGAGGCTGCCAAGGAAGTCCAGGACTGCTATGCAGTGACAGGCAGTGGCAAATCACCTCTGTGCGTCTTTTGCCCTGAAACCCCTGTGGGGTCGCTGTATGTTGGCTGCAGCGTCACGGTCCTTTCCACCATCAGGCCAACACTGAAGCCCCAGTCCAAATTCCTTCTCCCTGTGGCTGGTTTTACAAATATATAAAAAGGCTGAAGATCTGTTTATGGATCTGTGGTCTGTTCTCAGGCTGTCTCTTACACAGCCCTTCCTGAAATGGCACATATGGTCCTTGCGGGGTCAGCTTCTCCTGTGACTGTTTATTGAGTCAGCCCTGCCTGCCTAGGATGGGAGATCAGTGCCAGCCAAAGTCTCGTTCTTGTGATGTGTTGCCAAAGGAAATGGTTTCTGGCCTCCTCACACAAAAGAGTTTTGAAGTATAATCTGTATACCAGCATCTGGATCATTTCAATTTAATTTTTCTATTGCTTTTGGGATACAAGTGCTGAATTCATTTGGACAACTTTCTTCCGTAATTATCACTAAAACTTCAGACTATCTGCATGCATCTGACTTAATAACTCAAGGCTGCAGGAGGGTAAATGGAAAATTGCTTCTTATCCTGTCTTGCTTAATTTTGATCCCAGGGCAAAGGATAGGAGTCCCAGCAACCCATAGAAGAAATCCATTTAATTTGTTTCATGAAATACATCCTGCCTCTGTGTTGATCAGATAGTGGGAAGGGAACATGTGACATAAATATCCTTGATATGGTGAATTTTTATACCGGGATTCTATTTTGACTGATCAGCTGAATGTGTAACATCCAGAAAATTTTTTGCATCTAATATAGGAAACGTATGAACTCACTGGCAGTCTTTAAGCAGCGGCTGGACAAACACTTGTCAGGGATGCTCTAGGCTGATCCTGCATTGATCAGGGGGTTGGGCTAGATGCCCTGTGTGGCCCCTTCCAACTCTGTGGTTCTATGATTCATTGTGGCTATATCAGATACTGAGCCTAAAACATAGGAAGTCTCCCTGTACATAGCTAACTCTTCATAACTTTTGTCATACAGAAAAATCCAGTTCCCATCCGTAAAATATGGTTCAAAGCAGCCAGTTCTTGAGTAACAGGGCTGGCAAAGAGTCCTTCTTTGGAGATCCTCTGCCAGTCCAAGTAGACAGTTCTGGGCTAGATGGGCCATCGGGCTAGAGAGCCTCGTATAGACTAGGCTACCCAAGAGCTGCGGGCAGTTCAGCGGGGAGGGTTC